CTAATTCCAATAGCTTAAAGAACATTATAATAGCCAATTTTTATAAGATGAGTCTATTCGGTTTGGCAACAACATCGCTGAGGTTCTTTAGGAGAACGAGAAGCACAACTCCCAAAACCTTCGTAGCCAGCTATAGAACAGTCATGTTGACATTCAAACCATCCATAGGTATCCGAACACAGAGTATTGCAGTGGTCATATGAGAATTTTTCGATCTCTGCACCTACACAAACCGACATAAATGCTAAACAATTGTAATAGATATAAACATATACATATCCCTCTATATAGTTATATATCATACCAATAAAAAGACAGTTTAAATATCAATGTTCTAAAAATCGCTAAGCGGTGGTTAGACGTGTGATATGACACAAAAACACAAACACATGGCCATAACAACAAATTCGACATGGTTTTAGCTATTGCTTTTAAAATGATCAACACTAATTTGAAATTAAAAAATAAAAAAAGTTTTAATTGTTTTCGTGAAAATTACTTTATCAAAATTTATGTTTTAATAAAAAGATAAAAAAAACTGATAAATAAAATTATAGAATAAAGTTTAACATAGAAACCAAACTAAAAATCATCAAATTCTTCAAACTAAAAAGTAAATTTTAATATACAACTTTAAAAATATAAAGCAAAGAGAAATCTATCTAACTTATTTTTCAAACACATCCATATCCACCACCTGCACAATTTCAGATTCAAATTCAAAATCAATGGCTATATCATTTTCATCGTCAGAATTGATATCTCCGCTAGGCTCATCACTTTGGTTTGGTAATTAGGATGACCATTAGGTTCTTCATTGATTTCAAGTGGATTGACTAACCATTCTTCAGAAAAACTTTCATCTCCCTCATCAAGAATCACATCATTGTTTTTATCTCTGATCTTCTATAGCTTGTTCAAGAACTTAGCATTAAATTGGACGTAGACTAGACAATTAAGTCTATTAACATCTAATTTGTTCATTTTTTATTTTATTTTCTTCTTTTTGTAAACCGATGTTGGTTTGCCATCTAAAACCATAAAAATTGATTGAAAAAGGATTAAAATAATTAGTTTGATTTGATCGATTTTATCGATTTGGTCCGACTTTTCCGATTTTCTCTGACTTGTTCCGATTTATTACTAAACCAAATTTGTTTTATTGATTTTATGAAAATCGGGTCGGCTAACCCGAACAGCTGCCTAGACGGCCGCCTAGCCGCCGACTTGACAGTTTTTTGAACACTGATATATATACGGAAACTTTTGAATGCATGTTTATATATACGCACAAAAACACAAACACATGGCCATTACAAATTCGACATGGTTTTAGCTATTGCTTTTAAAATGATCAACGCTAACTAAAAATTAAAAAACAAATGTATCTGAGGTCAGAATGTTGTGACTGGACAATGAAACTGCTAATATCACTACAAATAAACAAGTTACGACCCATAATATCTTTTTTGTATGATCAAATCTGTTAAGAAATAGAGATGATTTTATTTTTAATTTCTTTGGACTTTAACGAGAGGCTCTATATATATATATATACATATATATTTACATACACATATATATGTAGTATGTAGTATATCTTTTGGTCTTTCGAAATCTTTGACTATTAATTGATTTCCATGTTTGCGTGTGAAAAAAAAAATTTTAACAAAAAAGTACTAACATTTACTCCGTATTTGTTATTTTCATAGTTTCTTTAAAAAGGAATGATGATAAAGAAAATTATTTAAGACTAATTAAAAAACAATTAGCTTTTAGTGAAGTGTAGAGAGTACCATTTAGCATTAGTCTCAAATAAAAGTGCAAGAATATAATTTAAATCTGACATTTGTAAATTTTGTCAAAAACAATTTATTGTATATATATTATCATTATGAACAATCAATATATTGACCCAAAAAAAACAATCAATATCTCAAGTTTAATGCAAGATTTATTGCATAACCAATGTTGAAAAGTTTTGTAATTAATTATAACGTAGTATATGGTATATATTTTTTATTTCAAAATTGGTAGTTATGCTTTTGCTTTTGTATCACTAACGACATCAAATATACTTTCTTTTTCTACTGAAAATACATAATTTTTCTTTCTGGTTTAAATGTTAAACAAAGAATACACAATTCGATATGAAATTTGACTAACTTTTTTTTTTATCAAAACAATGTTTGACTATATTTTTTTTACAATCCAAAAAAATTTTGACTGTCTTTTTACTATTAGAAAAAATTAGTAAGTTTAAACGCAACATTATAATAGCAGAAAATTACAAAAAAATGTAAATATTTTTTTAAAAAACAGTCAAATTACAAAGTTTGACTAATTTTTTTTTACAATTTGACTGTCTTTTAACAGAGTTTCACTCATTTTTTTTTACAATCCAAATCAGAGAGAAAAAAAATATTAGACCGTCAATTTAAACAAATTTGTACAAAAATATATTTAAAGCCGATTATATAATCCACTTCACTGAAGATAGACCAAAAATGAGAGAAAGGTTGCACAGAAGATTTAAATTTTAATAATATCCAAGTATCGGAATATATTAATAATGTTTTATTATCAAATTTTAAAAAAAAATTTAAATTTTCAAAATAAATATAAGTTATTAGGAAGAAAAAAATAAATAATTATTCTCAACTTATCATTTTCTACAAGATATCACTATATCACTAGACAAATAAATATCCAATTTTGCTTTGGCTTAGCCGAAATAGTTTTGCGATGAACTAGCTAGTATTAACACTCCAGTACAGAATACTTAGTTTGATTATTGTTTAACGATAGATTAACAACTGAACTTTCTATTTCTATCTTATTTGTAGAATTTTATGTATGCCAGATCTACTACAAACAATAAAAAGTTGTACTCTCTTTCTTTCATAATAGTTGATTTTCTGAAATATTGCACATAAATTAAGAAGTAATAAATATTTAATTATTTTCTATTTTGTCTTTTTGAATTAATTTACTTTATAATTAATTTATTACTTTTATTAATATTATTTTAACTTTTCCATCAATAGAAAATGGAAACATTGCATTAATTACAAACATACATGTATTAATTACACACAAGAAATCAAATATTATGAAACAAGAAAAAAACTTAGAAAATCATATGAAATAGAGGAAGTAGTAGTGATTACTTTATCAATACCCTTAATAAAATCATAAAAGGATTAATCGATAACCATAAACGCAAGCTAAGTGGTTGAATTGTATATATATATTTTTTTTAATGTAAAGTCTTTTACTTTTTAAATGACTTCCCTCTCAACTCGGTAACTCGCACACATTTATTAAATTTATTTCTTATTTTAGGATTAAATTTTGTTGTGCGAAGAAAAATCTCTAATGTCAGAGAGCTGCAATTCTCGGCACTTCTCATGGCTCATGAAATCTTGCTTACCAAATCCCTCCGACGCCAAATCACTCGTTCCGATCCACCACCACTCCTCGACGGTGGCTAATCCTTCCGCTACGGCCACGACCGTCGCTTCTCTACCGGACGATTTGTTGCTCGAATGTCTCTCCCGAGTCCCTTCCTCTTCAATTCCTTCTCTCACCGCCGTCTGCCGCCGCTGGTCTCGCCTCCTCCTCTCTCCTTACTTCCTCCATCTCCGCCGTCGTCTAGGCCTTCTCCGGCATTCTCTCTTCGCCATCTCCGCCGTCGATTCCGGACTTTTCGCGGCGGTTTTGCAGTTCCAGTCCGAGATTGTGAATTGGAGAGTCTCACTCGCTGTTTCCAGTAGCTCCGTTTGCTTCGACGGTAGCCATGGAAGCCTGCCTCATGCTCGCGCGGCGGCGATTGGACCTAGGGTTTACGTTGTCAGCAGAAATGCCGTTTTGAGATACGATTCGTGGATGGGAACTCTCAACTTGAGGTCGCCGATGCTTTTCCCTCGCAAAAAATTCGCAATCGCCGTCATTTCCGGTAAGATCTACGTTGCTGGTGGCGGTGGTGGTTCGGAAGTCACGGCGGCGGTGGAAGAGTACGATCCGGAGAAAAATCGGTGGGAAGTGGTCACTCAAGCGGCGCGGAAGAGATACGGATGCATCGGAGCAGCCGTCGACGGAGTTTTCTACGTGATCGGCGGATTAAAAATCGGGAACGAGACCTCACGCGCCTCGGCGGCGCACGTTTACGCAAGCTCCATGGATCTGTTCGATGTGGAATCGCGTCAGTGGCTGAGGAGTCGTTCGGTTCCCGGCGGTGGATGCGTCGTGGCGGCGTGCGCGGCGGTTGGACACGTGTACGTGCTCAGTAGCCACGCGGTGGAGCTCTCGTTCTGGCGATTCGATGGGCGTCGTGGTGGCGGCGGATTCGGGGAGTGGAGAAGATTGAAAAGCCCGCCGTTGCCGGCACAGGTGAGATTAGACGGAACCGTGAGGTTTAGCTGCGTCGGAGTGGAAGATAAAGTGGCGGTGGTTCAGGTAGTGGGATGCATCGACGATTTGCTCCGGCGAAGTGGGAGGAGCGAGAGAGGGCTGAGAGAAAGCCTTGTGTTGCTGTACGATACGGCGGATGGAGAGTGGAGTAGAGCGGCGGATCTGCCGGAGATGATTACACGCGCCGCCTGCGCGTGTGTTGAGTGGTAGAGTGGGCCTACGGCGTAGGATTAAGTTTAAGATATGTGGAAAGAGTCTAACGTACGCGGGTTATAAAGGGGACAAAAACAAAATCATTATGATAGGTGCATGTGACTCTATAAGTGGTTTGGATATTCGAGGAGGAAAAAAGGGCAACGACGTCTCGAGCTCGTGACCTTATTGGCTGATTTGTTTCAGAGTGAGTATGCACAAGTCTCTTTATCACTTTGGATTTGAGCTTAAGATTTTGTACTCAAAGATAAGAGATTCTGTAATTTTTTTTCTTTGAATTGGGAGATAGTGATTAACAAACTAATCTTTCTTAGGGATTGTGGTTTATTAGGGATGTGCCCAAATTGAAGCAGTAAATATTATCAATGAATTGTATTGAATATTTTTATTACTGAGTAATGAAAATACATCTGTTTTTTTTTCACTTTTATGATTCTAAGATAAATTAAATAATGGGTTACATAACTGAGATATTTTGCAGAGTTACATCCATTATATAGAGAACCAATAGAAACAAAGATCAATATCAAAAAGAAGCTACGAGATCAATGGTTCTAAAATGTTTCAGGGCTTCTTGTTCTTTGCCATGGCAGTAGTAAGTTCGATTGCGGTGAGACAGCGGAGGACAAGATCAGAGAGTGTGAGCTTAGAACTAATGGTGAGTTTTTGAAACACCCGAGATAAGAGTAACACATCTGACAAGGCTCTGTGAGCTTGACCATCTCTTGGAATCTTGTAGTAATCCCCCAGAGCTGATAATGACGATTTTGGCCTGACTGTTGCATCTGCGCAAGAGAAAGAATAAGAAACAGAACCAGATTTATCAGTTTCTGAGCTCTACAGACCAAACCAATCAACAATATACCCGAACAAGAAAACATGATTGTTCTGTTAATCCTAACAAGCAGAGTCCAGTTTGCAGCTTTGCCCTAAACTATGCAGGTCGAGGAAAGGGAAAATAACTATCCAGTGTGATAAACAGGCTTTTGTTTTTCATCTCAGTGAAATACAAGCAGAGGAACTTTTACCTACAGACTTCATGATCTCTCTGGCAAGTGGGAGTGAGTCGAAAAACAGCCAGTTATCAGGAATCTCGTAAGAGCAACGGTTAAACTCATTGACCAAGAACTGGAAATCAAATGGTTTGCCATTGTGTGCAACAAACATCACATAGCCTCCAGGCTTCTGTCGACTCTGAACATACCGCAGAAATATTGGTATCATCTCTTCCATCCTATCAACATTAAACCATCATTAGTTTTTGATCTCATTGGGAAGCCACGCAAGGAATATATATACGAGTGTATATACCTTGGAACCTCGGGTCTACAAACCATATCATCCCTGATTCCATGGATATGTGCATTTGATATAGGAACATTCGGGTTGATGAGAGTCTGAAATGTGCTGTACTCACCACCAGCTAGATCCTGAGCTGCAATTTCGATAATCCTCTCTTTTACCCTACTCAAGCCGGTTGTCTCAAGATCAGTGACTATAACCGTGAGGAGTTTAGACAGGTCTTTGTTTTCAGCTAGCCGTTGCTGAAGAGTTTCACAAGGCTGTATCTTGGTCCTGCTCTCTGCATCTATGATCCTGGTAACGGGAACTGCTCCTCCCAACACACTGCTCTTGGTCTTGCTTCTACTACCTTGTGTAGTAGTACTCACGTTTCTTCTGATCCATCTGCTCTTACCATCAACCGAGGAAGCTCTGACGTCAAGCACCTTAGGGCTTGAGTTGTTCTTGAGCAAGCCATGGACACGTTCACAGCAAGAACTTCCTACCAATAAGTGGATTCTGAATCTAGAGACTTGCGAGAGTGAGACACACATCAGATCTCTCTCTCTCTCTCTTTCTCTCTTTACCTCCCTCAAATATGCTCAAGACTCAAAATGACAATATTATTGTTCCGTAAGAAGATTGCCAGCAGAAGAAACCACTGTTCCGATCTGTAGATCCAGAGAATGAAGATTAAAAATAGGAAATTTAATAACTTTCGAAGTTTCCCGTTGTGATCGACATATAATGATAGAAGGGAACAAGAAAAGGACAATAGAACCCAATTTACTCTCTATTCTGAGCATAGTAGGAAGAAAGCAAGCAAGCAAGCAGAGAAAACGAAATTACTGAAATCAAAAGCAAGATTTTGACAATCCAATCTGAAAAATCAATAAACAGACTTTTAGCATCGGGCACAAAATTCAAGCCAATGAATTATGGCGAGCCTTTAGGCATAAAAATTGTTCCTTGACACCGGGGAAGCAATAGGTTTTTCCTCGTTTTATCAGCATCCAAACAAATCGTAGAGGAAAAAAAGGAGTAATTCAGCATCAACATACACGAATTTCCGGTATTGAATCGAAAACAACTGAGAAACTGTAGAAATGACGAAATGAATCGAGCAAAATCTGAGTTTTTCTTCTAATCGTGCTCATCGAAGAGACCGGAAAAGAGCGAAATTTCTGAAAGGTTTGAGCAACTAAACTGACCCAGAACGAGAAATGAAGCCAAAGGAGAAGATACTTGCCTGTGGTAATCAAAACTCGAAACAACACCTCAAATCTCCTAAATTAAAATAAGTTTTAAGAATCGACTGTTTATAGAGAAAGAGGGAGAGAGAGAGCAGAATGGAGGAGATTGAAGTAATTCGCTCGCGTGAGAGGGAGACCCGTTTAATTCGGATCTGTACCCGATCCGACAAATACGGATCTAGGATCCGAGTTTGCTTTTTTTTTAAGTAGGAGGGTGATACATGCATGTTTTTCCACTCTTTGGCAAATTTCATCCGACCTAGGCATTTCAGGTAGTAAATTGTGAAATTATTATTCAAACTATTCTAATACAAAACTGATCCAAGTTAAAAACATAAATGAATTATGATTACTACAACATTTAAATTATGGTAATCCAATCATCGACTTATTGGAGAATGTTTAATGTTTTGTTTGTTTTTTTTTTTAAATATCCCGGTTCTTAAAATAATAATGTTATCTACAAGCAAAGGAAGGAATATTCCTACATGTTAGGAAAAACATCCCAACAAGTCACTTGGTTGAACTTGCGTATATGACTTTTTTTAGTTAGCTTGTTTCTGTTTCTAATGTATTTCTTTGTTTTTTATTTTTTTGCTGACACCTAAATAATGCAGCATTTTGTTGTAAGTCGACAACATAAATGGAGCGGTCAGAAATATCCGTAAACGTTTGTTATAGGTAATTAAAAAGGAAAATTTTGTCAAAGAGTTTCAAAACAAAATACGCCATGTTCTAACTTTTTTTGTTTGTTTGTTGTTCAAACGCCATGTTCTATTACTTAACTCAAAGAAAAGAACTGGTTTGGTTCGGCTAACCCGGAATCTGTTGTGGACTTACACAGAAACCTATGTAATTTGATATGGAGGCCCATACACAAGCTCTCTACCATTCAGACCCATTTGTAAATTTTGTCGCAAATATAATAATTTTTCTGTTACCATATTTCAGACAACAGTTATATACCAAAACTTAACCGGGCATTTTTGTTGGTGTTAGATCTTATCTCACGTTCATTTGACGAAGCTAAAATTACGAATTCTTGCCCCTAATGTTTTTTTAATCGTATTCTTAAAAATGTTAATGTACCAACCAGAATCGAATCTCAAGCAACTCGAGTCAGAAAAGTCAATGCAAAGCCAAAACCGAAATGCTTGGGTCTAAATTCCATTCATTTGAGATTTGACCTACAATTTGCCCGTTGGCGCCAAATTTGCCCCAACCTTAGTTCGTTAAATTATACATACATATATCCTCAAAAGAGTGGCCCAAAGAGGGTCGACAAAATAATGGACAAAACTGTCTTTTCGGCGAAACACTCTGTTCTTTCTCTCAGGCGAAAACAGAGCTACAAGACAATAAGAGTAGACATAGAGCAGCTTGTTCGTCCTCCTTTAGACTCCGTCGTTTCTTCAAAGCCACGGCACCATGTGATGATGGTGATGGGTTTATCTTCTTGTAGGCTTTGTGGCTTTGAATAATACGAATACCCAATAACTCGGATCGTCTCTGTTTCCTGAGTCTGATCCCACATGCATTGCAAAGTGACTGCGAATTCCACCACCACAAAAAAAAAAAACAACTTAAAGAATACTTCTTGATTTTCTTGTAAGATCAAACAAAGTTATAATTATTTTAATTGAAGGTAGGAGAAAAGACCTTGGGACCAGATGGTCCACCTCTCCACATTGGTGTCTTGGTGGTTTTGCAATCACTGCAACATCTAATTGTCTCCTTCTCTTCTTCCATTTATCTATAAATGTTTAGAACCAGCATTGACACATTAGAGGATGAACAAGATCAAGATTTCTTAGATCTATGGAATTGAAAGAATCAACCTTGATACCGTAGTAGCCAAGAACTATATATCCCAATTATCTGGACAACTCTGAGCAAAAGAAAGGTCCTTTCTCTTTTGGAGGTCTGATCACTATAAACCCTAGAGAACTGATATGGAGAAACTGTGGGAAGATTGCTTCTTTTGTTGTGGTATGACCGTATGAGTCATCAAGAAAGGATTAAGAGCTCCTTAAAAACCATTTTAAACCAGGGCGACTGGGGCACGAAGACAAAAATGCCCTTGGCCGCTCTTTTTGTTCAATAATGATTATGGCCTTTCTGGTAAGATTATTGACACAAAACAAAACATCTGCCAAATTATTGTCGGGTGGAAAGCCAAGTGGCAGTACGCAAGACCGGGATCTGTGGAATTGTTTTTAATAATTTGAGTGTGTGTGTGTATTAGTCTATTAGAGAAAAGAAAGTAAAAGAAACCACAGATTCTGCAAACTTGTTCACATGAAGACAGAGAAAAAAAAAGGAATGAAGCAAAAGCTAGCAATGTTATCACTTATTCATAGACTTTTTTGGGGATTAGGAGGCCAATAGTGTTCTTCCTAGATCAGTTCGCGGAAAAGCAAAAGTACGCAAGGCAATAAAAATAGTCTGTCCAAACAGATTATTTGAAGTTCCAACCAATTATCAAACTTTTTGATTAATATAATAAGTGGGGATTTTATTTGAAAGTTGATTATTTTATGAGAGCTCATGGAATAAGTTGATTTGGTATATATTACGATGCTGTTTTTAAAAGTATATGTTTTGAGTACTATTATATGGTGAATTGGAAGAAAGTTACTTAACATCTTTTTGGCAAAGCCAAAAGGATAATGATTCTACACTTTGTTGGAGGACATTCTCGAAACATTCATAGAACACCAAATTGCATATCCATAAATTGCAATAGTGTAATACGTTGAAAAGTTAAACTTCCCGTGATCAAAATAATTCTTGACGAAGGCAGAAAAGCAGCATATATCTACAAACATTTTAAAATTGTATATTGATTTTGTCAAAATAAAAAACCACTTTTTAAAAATATATATCTTACATATACTTATACATAGCCTTTCGTGCCCCGAAAGAATCCTTTGAATCTAATATAGGCTACAACTTAGAAGCCTTTTGCTATAAAACCATTTCGATATAGGGCAGCACAAATACTTAAAATATAAGAATGTAGACAGATTTGGTGATAAATATCAAACATGGTATATACACAAAGACTAATCCCCGTAACTTATAAAACCATTTGAAACAGTCAGTGGCCGGGATCCATCTATCTAACCCTATTTTTCCATCAAAAGGAAAAAATACAAACATAAATACATATTTCATATATCCACACACACACAACTTTCGTGCACCAAAAGAAACGTCTGGATCTAATACAGCAGGCAAGGTTTCTTACAAGCCTTCCCTCGTTTTCTGGCAGTTGTGTGTCTCCAAACTTCTCGGAGCTTAAAAGCTGCCTTAACCTTACACCACCTAGCTCTCGGAGACCCAACAATATTTGCAATACGAACATCAAACATTCCAGCTTCTTCCGTGCCAGACACGCTAACACACAAACTGTCAAACTCTTGTTCCGCAAAATGCATCATACCAGGTGACCAGTTCGAGGCCATGTCCTGATACTGATCATAAGCAAAAGCGCCGTCATTCTCGACATTATAACCTCTTGTCATCACAGTTTGTGATTCGCCGTGCACCGGATCGTGTTCACTTACCCTGAAGCTGTTTCTCTGTAAGAATTTTCCGTCGATATGAAACGTTGTGGTTGGTGAGTTATCGAAACTCATAATCATTTCGGGTTGGACCGTGGAGCTTGCAGCTGTGAAGTAAAGAGACCTCGAAGACTCTGATGGATCAGAAATTCCTAAATATCCAAAAAGGTAAAAACATCGAATCATTTATTAAGTCTAAGAATATCAAAAGAGCTTAGACTCGTGACTAGAATAAAATTGTATACCTTGAATGTCGAGGTGGTGCAGTCCAGGACATGCAATGCCAAATCCAGGATTTGGTGGCGGGCATTGTAAGGACCTTTGTGGATAATCCCCAAAGGTCCTACCGTCTCTAAAGCGGTCAAGGTTTTGATAAGCATCGCACTTATATTGGTCCAGCTGATATCTAGGTATCTGATCGGCGTCTCGAACCGCACCGCCACTAAACACTTTGGTCACTTCATACACAGAGTTGAATCTAAGTGATACGTCATGAGCGGTTGAGTCGTAGGTATAATACTCTGTTTCGTCCAAAACGCATTGCATCGCGTGAAATACAATTGCTTCCCATGTTCTCTTTGAGACCCCTCCAAGTTTCTGTTATAATAAAATAAAAACAAACGAATCAGTTTTGTGAATGGTTACAAGTTTATTTACATTAGTAGAAGATTCATGATTTCAACTATTTTAGGTTTATAATTAATCTTACATTGCATAACGCATTTGGATCTATCGCATACCAACGGCGGAAATCCTTGACAGTATTAATCTTCCATTCACCCAAACGCACCGCCAAAACGCCATCTTTCGCGATTTTCTCTAGTCTCCAAACCTCATCACCGGGATACGGAGGGTGATGTTTTCTATAAGCTGCATAACAAAAAAAAAAAACGATTAATAAAATGTAATTCACCTTAAACGCATTAACCGCGACCAAACGCAGTAAACGCTACTTACATTCTCCTCGTTGGTCTTTACACTTAAAGGCTTCACTTCTTGCCTCCACGGCTCCACCACCGGTTAACCTAGCACCTAACCGGAACTTCTTACTCCTCATCCAACTCGAATTATCCGTGAAAGCGACGACTCCGGCGATCACTCCGACGCCGTTTTTAAGCGTCAACGTTAAATCTCCGGTAAGTAACGGGCGTTTACCTTCGCGTTGCTTGAGAATATACCGTTTGAACACGTCAACGCTCCAGCTTTCCTCAGTGAAATCAGCGTTTAGCGGCACGATCTCGACGCGAGAAGACGAGAGCGGTCCCGAGGAGACTCGAACGTTCGTGACGGCGTCCACGAGCTCGACCGCTACCGGAGAACCGTTCTCGGCTTCGACCTTGGCTCCAGTGAATATCGACGGCGGTGGAGAGTTTATGAAACGCAGCTTGAATCTTGAACGCGTCGACGGCGTTTCCGAACGCGATCGCTCGATTGGGGACAACGACGAAGAGAGATGGGGTTGACTAAGACGATCAAACTCCTCTCGAACCTAAATCATAAGATTTGAAGAAATTTAATCACGTTCTTGTGCATACAAAATATTTAAAGAAACATGTCTTTTCGTTATATATATATATATATGTTTATAAATTCGATCATTAATGTAACATTTAGTTATATGTTTTACTTTGATTATACATCATATAGTATAGTAACTAGATCACTCAGGGACCATTCATTGTTTGATACGGAGCCCACAAAATTTAAAACCACGAATATTAAAACAGTACAGAAAGAAGAAGTCGGTCAAAGTTGGTGGCTATATAGGAACGGGTTAATTTATCTAAGTCCCCTGATTAATTAAGATTTTAATTAATGAATTGTTAAACTATGAACGATGAGAAAACTCACAATTCTTCTGAGCATGTTCTCCATCTGAAGCATGAATTGATTATTTGTCTGATTTCTCATCACTTTCTTCACAACTCTGTGGTTTTACATGAGAAAATTAAACAAGCATTAAAACCCTTGTCCGAAAATCAATCGGAAACACACAAAAGATTTGGTTTATAAAATAGAAACTCACTTCTTGAACGTTAAGTTATGAGCTCTTAAGCCACTACTGTACCCACTAGCCCCATTAAAAGGGCTGTTTCGCATCTTCATTAATTGATCACTTTTAGGTTTAAAGAGATTTTATCAGATTTAAAATCTCAAAAGATTTTATAAGTCTTTTCTAAAAAAAGAAAAGGATCTTTGTGTGTGTGTGAGAGAGAGAGAGAGAGAAGAGATAGAAAAGAGAGCAAGAGATGAGTTGAGAAAGAGTAGAAGATGGATCCCAGTTATAAAGGGATAGCATTGACGAAAGTAGTACTATGAAATTTCCAGGAAGATTCGCTGCTCTCCGTAGTTTTGTAGTGCTATTCATTAACCACGCTGAAGTTAGTTATTTAGTTATTTTCTAATTAATTTAAACTAAATATAAAGACACTTGTGTAGTGTGTCATATATTGATTCGTTATTATATTATTTGCTGCTTGGTATAGACTATAATTCAGCTTGTAATAATCTAGACTATACTCTCGACCCGGCGAACAATTACACGTATTTATATCCATAATATATAATGGTCTCTGAAAGAACATCCCTGCATATTGGAAAAGTCGGATATGAAGTGGAACAATTTAATAAGTAACTTTTGTCTGCAACTCAAAGATCTTTTTTTTTTTTTTTGGTTAAATCTATTCCCTAAATCTATCTCAATTTCTGCTTAACAAATCCATTATCTCATCTAATTAATTTGACGCCTATTAAGAATCTTTTACGAAATAGAATTGATATGACATTAATTGAAATAGTATTTTTCCAAAGAAAGTAACTATTTACGCGTTTTAGCATTATTTATTACTCGACGCTTTTGTCCGTTTCTCAATCATTAACTCTTATGGTTTTACGAGCACCGTGCTAACATGCATACTCATATCCTACTCACCCACTGATATTAGGAGTTGTTTGATCATGTTCTCAAATATAGTCTCTCCGTTTTATTTAAGATATTTATACAAAAGTATGGTTTTAGTCTTTAAGAGTTTTTTTTTTTTAAATTACAATACTTTATATGATTTGCGTTAAATTTTCCGCTCCAATTTGTTTGTTCATCAACATTTGAAACAGTGGGGCGTAAAAACACAAAAAACATATAAGGAAAGTGTAACGATAAAATTTTCACAATCTAACCAAGCTAGGCCACAATCGTAGTTTACCTGAATCAGACAAAACAGCCGTAGACATAAGCGTTGACAAGGCTTCGTCGTCAACTAAAAGCAAAAAAAAAAAAAAAAAAAAAAAAAAACAAAACAAAACCAAGCCTAGGTGCCGTAACGCGTTTTAAAAAGTAATTTATTACAACCAAATACTGGAACATTCAACATAATTATTCATGTTTCAAAAAATCAGAAGAAAAGATGCACATTTTTTTTCTCCATCTACGCGTTCGGCTGATGGCCGATGTCCTTGTTTGATGAAAACCAAATACAACGACACAAACTGGGAACTTAAAAAAAGAAAAATAAACTAGAACGACAATGATGATATTATGAAATTGATTGGTATATCAGATAAAAAAAAACAAAGTACGTAAAAGAATATCTGAATAATTGTTAGTGGAAAAAATCTAGCACGTCAATTTTTTGGCTAATAATATATTTTTTAAATTAAGTTTCAGAATTTAAAGAAATGAAAAAGTAGGTTTTTGTTTATAACCCAAAAGAGTTTGACAGTTTCAGATTTATTTATTTATTTCGTCATCATGCACAATTATATTAATTAAATGGTTTAGTTATTATCCAGATTCGTACAAACATAGTTTACAAAACAAAAAATAGAAAATCAAGATGTGCACTATGTATTGGACAATTGGCTTTAAGCAATCAAAAACAAGAAAACCGTAAAATAGTGAAATGGGGGCTTCATGTAAGAAAAAATCGTTTAGTAGAGTTGAGATCAACGCCGATGAGTTCCTTAAGAGATAATTTGTTGGTTTTATATTACAAGAAACTTTCCTTCCAAATTCGAGGAAACACGAAAGGAAGCGAAGATATGCCGAATAGTCAAACTATATGTTGATTGATATCTAAGTTTGATCGAGCCATTTCATTAACCAATCACCTTCGATATGTCTTTCATTATATTTTTCACTGTAATAATTAAATTGTTATGTTGAGTTTTTTATTTTATTTTAATTTGTTTGGTGATGTGTCATCCAGACCATCGTATAGCAAAGTTGAACAAAATGTACTTAAGGTTGTGATCAAAACTTCTTTACACAAAAAAAGTTGTGATCAGTGCTAAATTTTAGTCCATTTGTTAATTTTGCTGCGCAATGAGAGGTTAAACGAGTCTTAAAGGTTTCTTATATTGGTCCTGATTTTTTTCTGCATTTAGGTTTGCATTTGGTTCTAATCTTCTTAACATGGAAAGGAAAACACAAAAACAGTCGAGAACTATATGCATACGAACCGTTTTAATGTTTAGTTCATCTTTTGTCTAATTTTAAAAATCAACCAATACAAGAAATTAATTCGAATCTATATATAGTCTACAAGTTTTTGAAGCTTACTTACTTGTTCTACTCAATCGTCTTTTTCTTTGATTGTCTTTTGTCTTTTGCAGTGTTCTCTGCTCCACACCTAATGCTTTGAAAGATAATGTACCTTTGTAATTGTTTTTCTTATTTTATTATATTATAAACCGTTCTAGAATTTTTTTTTCTTCGAATGGATATACGGTCATGAATGAGTCAGAGTATATGTAGATCCACGTTAGATTTTCTTGCTATTTAAAAATGAAATACTGTATTAGTGAACCAAGCATCCAGGAAATTTCTGAACTGAATATGACGGTATAGATTCTCTTTTAGATACTAAGTTTGAAATTTCTTGCACAAGTACTTTTAGTATGATATCATGTGTTTTTCTACTTTCACATGAACAAACAAGGTAACAAACTATGCACAGTTATGGGTTTCGATCGGGTCCATTTGCGGTTCTTAAAAAAAAAACAAAATCTTATTGGAAAACAATGTTCTGCAAGTGTTGTAAAAGCTTCCATAACTATTTAAAATTACAACATTAAAAAAAATCCTGAAGGACATGAAGTCACCTCCCAAAAGGGACACAATGTTGTCACTATAGCCCAATTTGCATTTGATTTAATATATCTTTACGTTATATTTGCAGGAACTAGATGAACATGGAGCAAGAAGAATACTCGTATTCGGTGTACCACCTTTAGGATGTATCCCATCACAGAGAACCATTGCAGGAGGAGTCTTAAGAGATTGTGTCGTTAAATATAATGATGCATCAAAACTTTACAATGACAAGCTCTCAGAAAATATTGATATGCTGCTGTCAATCAAGAACTCTACTGGAAAAAACTTTAATCTACGTTGACATCTACAATCCTAGATCTTCTTGAGATCATTTTAAAACCTCAAACCTACGGTAATCAAAGTTTTCTTATTTTAAGATCATTTTAATAAAACATCTACAACCTTCTTCTTGAAACAGTCAACTTGTTATCGCATAACGAGAATGCATGTTTGTCATGGATGCTACAGGATTTCAGGTTGTTGATTTAGGATGTTGTGGAACGGGACTATTAGAAGTTGCTGTGTTTTGCAACAAATTCACAGCTACAATATGTTCCTCAACATCTGATTATGTGTTTTGGGATAGTTATCATCCAACTGAAAAGACTTATCGAATCTTAGTCGCAAAAGTTTAATTTAGACAAATATCTCAACAAATTCTTTTGATTATGACTCTCTTGTACTTTTCATATGGCTTAAAATAAATTTCAGTTTGGTATCAAACAACATAAATTTTAGTTTAACTTATTATACCTGATCACAACTTTATTTCCATTTCATATTTTGTATATTCAATTTGATTTGTTTTGTACTAAACCAAACTTCATCTTAGTTCCATCTTTCTTGTTTTTGCATGATTTGATTAGGTTTGATATTCAAATATAAGAGGAGTAAAAATACAGATATACAGACTTGTGCATATCGAATTGTAAAACGTAAAGTGCACTCAATAATAGTAGCAACGAAGTGTAATGATTAAAATAGGAGAAACTATTCTTTTTTGGTCAGAATATATAGGAGAAAGTATTCACATGCGATATAATTCATATGCGACAATTCAAACATGAACTACTTTGACGTGCCCATTCTTCCACTAGCTTAAAAACAATAGTCCGTACGGTGTGGTTGAAACAAACGAAGTTCGAGAACTATACACAAACGTGTTTCTATTTTCGGATTAACCATGTAAGATATATAGAGGAAGAAGAAAATGCTTAACAGTGCTGTTCGACAACAACAAGAAAAGAAAAGGTGAATTTTGTGATGATATATCTATAAAGCATTAGTCACCAAAATGTTGAAAAAAGACTTTGAATGGTACTGAGTCTGATACAGTGATACCGGTAAATAACGTTGTAGTTACAGAAGAAAAACTGAAAATACAATTGAATTAATACAACGTATTAAAATAAAAAATAATGAGAAAGTGGAGCCCGGAAACCCATTTTATTTATGTTTCCCAAAATCCATGGGAAATTATTAACTTATTGCGATTTGTCATACTATTAGACATTTGCACTGTTTACTATAAATGTTTTTGCCTTTTTCTATAACTGAAAAGAAGAAACGTATGTATGTCCCATTTCTCATTTTGATACAGATTCAGCTAATTGAACTGAATATTATTCAACTCTATTCTCTTTATGATTATTGTTCATTCCTTTAGAATTTAATACTAGATCGTTGCCTCATATACAGTAAACACAAGATTGAAACTATATATACTCTATTTTGGATTATATGCAGAAGAATTCCACTTTTTTACTGAAAGCTGTAAAATAAATTCGGCTCAAGGAAATAAAAAAAAATAAAAACAGGATACATACATTTAATATAATTTAATGTAATTTCCAGAGGTGGAGTGAGAGACTGGAAAATTCAAACGCAGAATTTCTCTCTCCTCGCTCTTGAGCTCGTCTTCTCTCTCGTCACATCAATCCACACTGTTAAGTTTCTGTTTTTCAAGCTCTCTGCTGCTTCTGCACTTCTATTGGTCCCTTCACTTCCCAAATCCCAAATCTTAAAAATCTACCTTCCTTCCTCTTCCCTTGTTTTAACCTTTTCCTGATCTGACCCATTTCTCAAGAATCTCTCTCTCTCTTTCTAATTTCTTGATGTTTTAACTTTCATCGATTTCAATTCTCAATTGTTGTGGGTTTGAGGAACACAAGACCCCCCTAGTGAGAAAAATCCGCAGCATTTCTGGGGTTTTAGGGTTAGATCTTTTGCTAACGCCAACGTACGTTTTGTTCTTACCTTAAGGTTCAGCATTTCTGGGGTTTTGCTCCAGTGGCTACATTTTACTGTTAACGTGTCAAAGTCTTCGAATTCGGTTGATTCCTCCACAAGGATTTCTGCAATTAACCCAAATGTAATGAGCCCATAAGTGAAAGTTGAGGTCTTTGGTCATCCAAAGTAAAGCTAATAGGTAAATTGGTTCACTTTTGATCTGATTTCTTACAAACATTTAATCAAAATTCAAGTTTTTTATATGTCTACATTATTTGAGTTGTCTTATCTTCACAACTCCGTTCTGTATTATCCTGTGGTGTCCACTTCTGAATATTGATGAAAACTGTCTTAATCTCCATTTACTTCAGCTAAAAGTTGGGCTGAATTATTGAGGTTTTGGTCCGGTATCTTTTGGTTAACTACTACAGTTCTCGAATCAAGATCTCATTTTGCTGCATCTTGTAAGTTACATTCCATGAAAGTAATTCAGTGATTGTAATCTGTAGATGGAATAATTAAACAATGGAGGTTGTTGAAAGGAAACGATCCAGAGGAGGGTTTTTAAATCTATTTGATTGGCCTGGAAAATCCCGGAAGAAGCTCTTCTCCTCCAGCAGCTCGGAACTGTCAGGTGTGTCTGCGGTATTGCCTTTGTAATGCTCACTAATAATTAGAAATGTTTGGTTCAGTTCTTGTGAAGTCTCTGTGGCACGTAGAAATGTATGGTCTAAGACAATGTACTTCTGGTTTAAACGATTTTGATCACGGTTAAAGACAATGCAGTTCGTGTTTTCAAGATTTCTATTTGTAATATGTTTTTGGTTATTCGGTTCATAATGCTGTAAATATAACAAGTCATTTTCTATCTTGTTTGGTTATTCGATCAGTAATCTTAAGCGATCTTCTTCTTGTTTTTGTACCAGAAGAATCAAAGCAGACAAAACGGAATGCTCAAAACCTCTCAAAGCTTTCTCTCGTGAGTTTTCTCAATACTATTCGCTTGTTTATGTCAAGTGACTTTCTGTCTTCTTCAGTTTTGTTTCGTGTCAGTGTAATTGATGACAAGAAGCAATTTTGTTTGATGTGACCTTTTTTACAGATTGAGGTTGATGAGATTGGCAAAAATTCGAGTTACAACTCAAGAAGTGACTCGAGCTGTTGTGCATCTTCTGTTACCAGTGATGATGGGCAGGGGACAAGAGCCCCGAGTGTGGTTGCGAGGCTCATGGGTTTAGAGTCTCTACCAGTACCAAATGTCCAGGAACCTCGGTTTAATCCTGATCTCGATCCATTCTTCCTCAGACCTTCACGAAACACAAACAAATGGAATGCATATGAGAATCTTGGTTATGTAAATCTCCGTAGTGACTATGATGGAATTTCCTGGGAACATTTGGATTCAAGAACGAATGATGGCCGCAACCGACCCATTGAGCGGTTTCAATCTGAGACATTTCCTCCCAGGTCGGCTAAACCGATTTGTGTTACCAACAATAGGCTCTTGTCTCCTATCCGGAGTCCTGGGTTTGTCCCATCTAGGAACCCTATATATGTTATGGAAGCGGCTTCAAGAATGATTGAACCAAGTTCTAGGATGGTTGCTAGAACTCGGTTTTCGCCATCTGATTCTCCTTCATCAGTTCCTATGAGGATTCGAGATTTAAGAGAGAAACTAGAAGCTACACAGAAAGTGTCAAGCCGCCAAATCTACAATGATACCTTCAACCTTAAGGACCCTAGTGGAAAGCAAAACGAGAAGAGAGCCTCAACACCGCTCATGACACCGTCCACTAGTAAGTTCATGGGAAAAAGCAGTTCTGATAGTCTGAAGGGTAAAGTGAGGCCACCTTATGTATCTGCACAAGCAAAGACCAACACAACGCCCGTAAGTGTCACCAGAAACTCTGCAAGCCAAAAAGAGAAAGCAGAAGCTAAAAGGGGCATTGTCAAAAGCCAGAATGGTCTCAGAGGACCTCCCATTAGCACGGGAAAGAGTGTGCTTAAGCAGAATTACCAGAAACAGAACGGCAGAGACAACCAACCATTGATGACCTCTGTTTCAAACCAAAAAAGCAGCAAAGTAAATAAAAAAATTGTAAACAAGGTTCCAAGGGAAAGCGGATCGATACCAAAGCAGTCGGGTTTAACAACGGCGTCGGCTGGAAAGAATACTTCTTTATCTCTGTCCCGCAAAAAGACTCTTCCCCGGAGCAAAAAACCTCCAAATGGGTTGCAAAAATCTGGGATCTCCGATGATAAACGGCTCAAAAGGGGAGAAAATTTGATCAAATGTAACATTACCATTGATGGTGGCTTGAACACAGGCACAGATGATCGGAAAAAGGAAATGGATGTGATTTCCTTCACATTCTCATCCCCCGTTAAAGGTTTATCATCTGATTCACTATCTTCCATTCAAGGAATTGATCAAGACACAGACTCTGCAGTTAGTTTAAATATGATTGGCAGCGATTCTTTAAATGTTCTGTTAGAGAAAAAGCTCAGAGAGCTGACTTATAAGCTTGAGTCTTCTAGCTGTAGCCTGACCCAAGATGAGTCTTTACTTTCCAGTGCAAAGGATGGGGTGAACAAGATGATTTCAGCATCGTCAGAGTATGAAAAGTTGACCCAAAACGGTCTGGATAAAGTTTTATCAGAGAGTGAATCTGTTTCTGACTGCACTTCATTCTATGACAAACATAAATTCCAGGTTAGTTCCTTCCTGATGCACCTAAGAGATGAAGTTTTCCAATATATATGCAATTTCTTATATTTACCATTCTATAGTTTTGGTATCTTGGCACTGTTTCTACATGTAAACATCTTTGCATTATTAATTAGTTTGCTCGTTTATTCTGAAAAAAGGTGATACAATCAGAAGAGCAAGAAGTTAGCAGCATTAGCACTGTGACAGAAGCAGATGATCTCAGAAGCTCCTGCAGCAAGGGTTTCGCAGAATGCAGACACACCACAGAATATGGTTCGTTTTCTTAATACTTCACAAGCAAAGTCTTTTTTTTTTCTCCCACGATTTTTAATTCGTGAAAGTTCCAACCGAAGAGTCCATTAGATCGATGCATATCATGAAGTCCACACTCGTCCTGCAAAACTTGAACTTAAGATACATGTATCGTCCAGAAAACTGTTTGCAGTCAATAGGATCTAGGTATTAGATCTAATGGCTTGAAAGGAAGCTTGATTGCAGCTAATTTTGATTACAGGGATTAAACAGTCCTCATCAGATCAAGAATTCACGTGGGTTTCATCAAATGAGTTGCACCAAGCACTAGACGAGTCCGAGCTCTCAGAATCTGTAATAACGCTGACTTATTCAGAAGACGAAGAAAGGCTCGACTGGGAGCTTGAGTACATATCCGAGATCCTCGGTTCTGACCAACTGATGGTGAAAGAATTCGCTTTGGGAATGGCTACTGACATATTACCTGCGAGCCTCTTTGACGAAATGGAAGGCCGGGGAGAAGCAACAGCAGTCAAACTCAAGAGAAAGACACTGTTTGATTTTGTCAATATGTGCTTAACGCTCAAATGCGAGCAGATGTTTATGGGTAGCTGCAGAGGGCTATTGGGGAAAGACGGGATATTGTTTGAACAGAGAGATTGGTTAGCTGAAGAACTGAACAGAGAGATTCACGGGTTGAAGAAGATGAGAGAGATGATGATGGACGAGCTTCTTGACAAAGAAATGAGCAGTTTCGAAGGTTGCTGGCTTGATTTCGGGAGAGAGACTTATGAGGAAGGCATTGACATTGAGGGAGAGATAGTCTCTACGTTGGTTGATGATTTAGTTACTGATCTTGTCTCGGTGTTTAAAGAAGAACATTGAAGCTAAGGAAAGGGTTAGTCTCTGCTTTGGCTGAGTCTGATCTTCCCTCGGCATTTTAGAAGCTTCTTTTGATAGTTTCTTTGACACGAGAACTGAGAAAAAAGTGAAAAAGTAGCCAATATTGAGGAGCATTCTCTCACAATGTAATTCAGGAGTATTCCATCTTTTATCGTTTCTACAGTTTTATATTATTTATTTTTCTTTTGTCTACATGTGTAATCTTTTTACCGATCGAAATGCAAATAATGCGATAATTGTCCTTCATTCAGATGATATAGTCTTATAGTATCAGGGAGTATTGCTTTCTCCTACAAAAGGAATTGTGTAGGAAACGGGAAAAAATGGCACCAAAGTTCTCGTTGGGAACAACAAAAGGAGTTTCGTGTCTTATATTGGAAGCGGCATGAAGTGATAGTGTGTTTCCCGTCTCTCCTCTTGTTCGACTAGTAAGACGCTGATAATGTTGATGAAATGACAAGCAGAAAATGAAAAACAATTTTATTTGATGTTTCAAGATTTTGCTTTGGTTACATACCAAAGAAATCCAACAACATAAATAAACTACCCTAATCATAAGAAAAAATGTTACAGAATAACTTTCGTCTTCAAGGAAAGAAAAACGAAGAAAGAATCAAGAATGGTCTTCCTGTTTGGATGGAGACAACAACAGAGTAAGAATGTCAAAGTGACGTGTGTGTTTTCAGTCTTGTTGTTTGTCATACCCAAAGGCAAGCTCGAAGATCTTTCCATAGTCATCCACAAAGTGAACATCAAGCCCTTCTTTCACATTCTCCGCCAGCTCTTCAAAGTCTCTCCGGTTTGCCTCCGGAAATATTATAGTCTTCACCTGACTCCGCCTCGCCGCTATAGTTTTCTCCTTCACCTGAAATATTTTGTGTAAGAAACTTGCAGCAAATTCTGTAGAATGTCCCAAAAAAAGCTTTGATACAGTGGGAGGTGTCCGGAGTTTCTCACTTACCCCACCAATAGGAAGGATTCTACCGGTTAAAGTGACTTCTCCAGTCATTGCAAGATCTTCTTTAACAGGTTTCTTCATGGCAAGTGATAGCAATGATGTGATCATGGTGCAGCCTGCACTTGGACCGTCTTTGGGAGTGGCTCCTGCAGGAACATGGAGATGAAGCTTGGAATTTGCAAAGAACTGATTCTCTGGTTCTTTCTCTAGCATGATCTTTCTGGCGACTGTGTGAGCTATCTGTGCGCTTTCTTTCATCACATCGCCGAGCTGACCTGTTATATTCAGGCCTCCTTTACCTTCCCCTTCCTCCACAACAGTTGTCTCTATGTACAATGTTGAACCACCCATTGATGTCCAAGCTAGACCCATCACAACTCCAACCGGTGTGGGCTCATAGATCTTTTCCGCATGGAAAACAGGTTTGCCTACATAATCTGAAAGGTTTGATTCATCAATCATAACCTTTTCGACAGCTATCTTCTCGGTTTGAGTCTCTTCCTTTGGTTCGTCAACATGGTTCTCTGGGGATTCCACGTCGAGCTTGGTCACAATTTCAGCTTCTTCGGGATCACTTGCAACTGCAGGCTCTTCTGGGACTACTCCTTCGCGCACTAATTTAAGAGCAATCTACGAGAGAGAAGTAAAATGATGTTAGATTCTCCGGACTTGAGGAAACAAATGCTGAGTCTCCTCGCAAAAACTTACCTTACGGTAAATCTTCTCGATCTGTTTCTGGAGATTCCTAACACCTGCTTCTCTGCAGTAATTTTCAATCAAGGAAAGAAGAGCTGCATCACTCACATCAACCTGCAATTAGTACAAAGAGATTGAGCAAATCCCAGAAGAAAGTATGTTAAAACCGGAGACAATTCAGAATAGGATGAGTGTGAGACCTGTTCAGGCTTGATGCCACAATCTCCACGTGCGGTTTTTTCCAAATAGTCTCTTGCGATATGAACTTTCTCATCGGTGATATACCCAGCAATACTAATCACCTCCATTCTGTCTAGCAGAGGATTTGGAATCATGTCTATCACATTTGCTGTGCACACAAATAAAACCTGTAGAGAAATGGATCAACAATTAAATTTAAAAAGCCTAGAGTCGCATGAAACAAAACGGTATCCATATCACTGATTGGTGGATCAAAACATCACGAAGAAAAGAAAGATGAAATTTGGTCACTGATCAACATTAATTACCTTTGATAGGTCAATAGTAACGTCGAGATAGTGGTCCAGAAAATTTGCATTTTGCTCTGGATCCAGAAGCTCCAACAAAGCACTGGCTGGGTCACCAGCATGGCCTCTCCCGAGCTGCCGAGGAACAATAAAACAATTTTATTGCAGCTTCGTTAACTAGTGGTTGTATAGTTTTGCATCGATGAATAAAAGAAGCTAACATATGATGACTACAAACTTCAATAAGCTAATTACAATACTAACAAAGTATTACCTTATCAATCTCATCGATTAGAACAAGAGGATTTGCTGTCCCCACGTTCTTGAGACATTGCACCATCTTTCCTGGCATGGCGCCAACATATGTTCGACGATGCCCCTAAACATGTTATTACAAGAATCGTTTATCGTTTCTAGGACAGAATTCTGTCGTAAATGTTTGACTAAGGTTTGCAAGAAAAAAAAAGAACGTGTTATACCTTGATCTCAGCGACATCTGCTAATCCTCCAACAGAGAACCGGAAAAACTTGCGATTCAGAGCACGTGCAATAGAACGACCAATACTAGTTTTACCTACTCCAGGAGGACCCGAGAGGCAGATGATTTTCCCTGGTGACACATTTTTACTCAAATTTTCAGCAACGGAGCTCATAACACCAGGACAGGTTCTTTTTCATCAATTCAAGATCAAATCAGAAACGGGCCACTACTACTGTGTAAGTATCAAACCTTGTGAAGTGCCTCTAAGTCTTCCGACTGCGATAAATTCTAGTATTCTTTCCTTTACGTCAGATAAGCCAAAGTGATCCTCGTCAAGAATTTGTTGTGCCCGCACAACATCAAAATTTTCATCACTGCAAATTTGAGAAAATAGATTCCTCAATTAGCGAACACAAAGCAAATACAAATGGTGCCATGAGATGATACAATTCTAAAGTAAACAAGAGTAGAAAACCTGTAATTTCCCCAAGGCAATATGGTCAACCAATCAAGATAGTTACGGGTCACATTAAACTCGCTTGAACTCGCCTCTAACAGCTGCAGTTTTGTAAGCTCTTCTTCGATAACTTGTAATACATGCGGTGGTATTTTTTCCTTGTTAGGCTCAATCCTTTCCTTGAACTTTGCTGCAGTAAAGAACAGACAGACGACTGTAAACTACAGATGCCTTACAATTTAACAGTGTATGGTTCTCCGAACTCATACCAAGACATTGACGCTTCATGAATGCATAGTAATCAATTAGGCAGTGAATCTATAAATCTCTTTTGTAAATCTAAAATGACTACATCGAATTAAAGATATTCTAAGTTAATACTGACCAGAAAGTGCAGATTTGTCATCTGTCTCTACACCAAGCTCCTGCATTGGATTACTTAAATGAATCAACCAAATATGCTATATACCACACATACTTGGTATGTGGACGAAAATAGAAAGCATAATTTGTGAGGCGGGCTGAAAGATACCTTCTTTATAGCCTTGAGCTGCTCATTTAGCAAGTAACGTCGTTGCTCACCACTAATTTTTTCTTCAATTGCTTTTGCAATGGTTTCCTATTAAAGGCTCAAAATATTTCTTATCTCATTCAAAGAGTTACCGGCTAAGTAGCCCCTTCGTTGGAAAGACACAGAAAAGAAGGGAATGAAGTACCTGAATCTTGCTAATTTCCATTTCCTTTTTCATCAATTCCAGCGTCAACCGTAGACGTTTGTGAATCTGGGTCGATAAAATAACAGAGATGAGAGATTGAAAAAGCCAGGAATACAATACAAATGACAATAATAGTGAAACTACTTACATCCAGTTCTTCAAGAACTTCTTGAGCTTGATGCCTATTTGCACCACATATTGCTGCTCCAAAATCGGCTAGTCGTGGATAAGTGAAATCACCTATATGCTACACAAGTTTGAAAGATATCTACTAAGATACTCGTCTCCTCGGGCTTATTAACTTGCACAAGTGAAAATTATGAAGAGAACATGCCTGGGTATATGTCTGAACGTGATCTCTCCATAGCGAACTTGTCTTTAGGACATCCCTCAGCGTTGAAATAACTTCAAAGGATGTTGCCTTGATGACATCATCATCCATGTCAAACGGCTTATCCTGCAGAGAGAGAGAGAGAGCAAGCAGTAAGGTTCCTGACTTCAGATTTTTTTTTTCTTTTAAAAAAGGAAACAAAACAAGGAAAAGCATAGAAACAGAAATGTACCTTAATATGATCGACTTTGACGGTAAGTGGTTCTTCACTCACCTGTATAAAAGACATAAATTTCCCACTTAAAGAAAAGTGACTTGATAAACCAAACAATATATGTGAAGGTGTAGTCGCGAAGCTTTTGAACTACAAATCTTTCGAAACAAAAGATTCTACAAACTATGAACCCTGTTAGTCAACCGACTTACCATCTCTGTTATGCGAAGCCGCCTGTGACCAACGAGGATAACTTGGTCCCCTTGGATACTTGAAATCTGTAAAATCAGTACGGAAATCGTAATGTTAGTTATTTCTTTTGATTCGATCATAGGGACACTAAACAGACGCTAAAAGCAGTAGCAGCATCACAGTACCTGAGCAAGTGTGCCAACTTCATGAAGCCGATCAAGCAAATTTTGTCCTTTCAGCTCGTTTATGTTTTTCTCTATGTCAGTGCTTGAAGATGAATCGGCTGCCGGGTCATCCTTCAGAAGGAAAGCTCCTGCATATGGAGCTTGTCGTCTTCTGCTCTCTTGTAAGGCTGCGAGTACTTTAGGATCCTGCACACAGGAAAAAGCACATGCTATGCTAGTCAGAGACGCAAAGTCTGACATTTCCCAAACTAAAGATCATGTTATCGATTGGATTGGACATAAGCAGTTTTGCAGGAGATACTACAATACAAGAAACAATGTAATAGTAAATCAAAATTTTGAGCATCAATTGAGGCTAAAAATTAACTATACGTAGAAAGAAATACAACCAGCAGATAGTAGCTACGTAATCAATCATAAAAGAAGATATCGGCTCTACTTCTAAAGCTAGATACAATTCAATTTAGAAAGAGTTCATTGAGATTTTGAGGGCTGAACCAGGGAAAGTAATTTTGGAGAATATTTAAAGGCA